GTCCGTGTGCGACACTCCGCCTTTGAAGGGGTTGCACCTTCTGCAGACGAAGCAGTGGGTCTATTTATATCCCCCCGACCCACTGGGGGTGACGAACTTTATCTATTCCCGGAAACCTTCCATTGCACCTGCATCGTGAACTATTGTTCACTTAGCCGATTGAATGCGACCAATCAGTGGCCTTTTTCATACCAACCCATGTGTTGTTGGCACACCCACATGTATATTATTCTGGCGTGTGTCGGGGTCGGATGGGTGACCTGAACACCTGTGACTGTGTCGGGGAGGGAGGGGGGTGGGGGGCGCACCAGCAGTACGGGCGTTGAACGTTGCAGATACAAACGCGTCAGTCTTTTTCCCCCCTCAGGAACTGATCATTATTATATAAGTTCGGCCCTAGCATTGACGTAGATCTACGTAATAAATTGAGCGCTGGTCTATGGAATCAAAAGTTGCCGTGTGCTAGGCTCTACACAGCAACACAACTTTTTGGCAAACATTCGAGATTTGAACGAATTGGTCTTTTTTTTACACAGCTCGTAATGTGCAGGCTTTTCAGACACTACTTGTTACTTCTCTTTACACATTATGTGCTCAGTGTCTGTAATAATCTACATAAAACCTCATATTTGCTATAACGAACACTCGGTTTCAACGAGGTTTTGGGTCAGGCCCGGCGACTTCGTTGAATCCGAGTTCCACTGTACTTCACACTTCACAGCGCTCAGACCGCCGGTCTCACACTCACAGGTTCATTGACCGGTCACGAGGGCGAACCTGACAAGACGCTTGTATAACTTTCTTTTCTTTTTTTTTTCACTAGTGACAGCAGAGGACAAAATTTCTGGGTGGTAACGAAAGCAAAAGTAGATCTTGATTCTTCCCAATCGAGCCTCGGTGTCACACATGCACTTCCGCCATAGCGGTTCAATTACATTTCCTCTTCATGATTCATCAACCATACTGTCTAGATAGCTACACTACTAATATTACACAGGCCCTATCCTTTCCAGACTTACCGACCCATCACAAAATTCCCGACTTTTTCCCGATTTCCCGACCTGGTGGGGACCCTGAAGGTTCGAATCTGATGTCAAACGAAGTCCAGGGACGAGTCTAAGTCACGGTTAGTCAGTAATATAGCACATGGCCGTTCATTGTTAGCATGACAAAAACAGCAAACCCTTATTCCCTTGTCGCAGGTGGGATAGTCAGAATTATCGGGCTAAAATCCGATGGGTGCCGGGTTATACAACACAGATTTACTTCTAATGTTTTAAAGACATTTTTAGATAAATTTCAGATCTGCCTTTGAGTGAGCTTATGAAATGGACAATCGATAGGGCCAATAAACATTTTTTTAAAATACTTTGTGGGTTAGTAGGTTTTATCACAAGGTCGAGTATATGATAAGTCATGAAATAACCAAGAGATTTATAAACATTGGCAATACCATTAGAAAGCAACAGAACAAACAAAAACAATTCTTCTGGGTAAAAAATATGTAAAAACACAAAAACACAAACGAGAAAAAACCTTTGAACACTCACCTCCCACTATCATACCGGTGGGCCTTGTTCTCATGGTAGCCCCTGTTGTTAGACAGCATCCCACCCCTGTAGCTACTTCCTCCCCTACTGCCTCGTCGCCTCTCACTGTTGCGGCCGCGACCACTCTCATATTGAACGAAGCCATCATCATCCAGATTGGGGATCGTATCTGCACCATCCTCAGTGGTGTCAATAACTGCCATGCGTGGCATGAAATCTTGAAATTTCTGTCTTCTTGGACCTCCTCGACCCCTGCAACATACACATAATTTTAATTCTTAACATATCATTCACTAGAAAATCATACAAAAATGTTTCATGGTTCTGGTAGGCTGTCAATTTTATATTATTATTAAATATATCCGGTTTGGGGCTTCTAGAGTGAAAACTTAGCTCACTCCCTGCCAGACCCAAAGGTCAAATCGATAAACAAGACACTACCATTATCGAAACCCCTTCAGTTCGTTTCCTTTTTTTTTCTTCTAATATTACTCAATGTGTCATCACAAGCATGTCACTACTGTCCTTTGTGAGTGAATAAACATTGTTTGAGCTACGTTGTTCGATAACGGAATAAAATTTCAGGGGGGATTTTTTGGGGGCAACACCGGCACAATGGTGAATTAACCTCTCAATATGGTGGACCCGATTTGTTTTTGTTTTAGTAAACATTCTACAGTACTTGCAACACAATAAGATCATATAAGTGCTGAACATTATAGGTATTACCAGCGAATAACAAACAGAAAAAGGAGAGGTAAAGATGATAGATATTTGATAGGAAAGAAGGAGCAAACCACACTACAGCACACACCTGATGGACTAGGTCCAATCTAAACTTTTCTAGTGCTGAAGAAGATGGCAGTGACGCTAACTCTTTTTACTTACCACGGCTGTTAAAATCTCACTGAAAGTGGTACTTTAGTTGGTAACCGAGCTCCGGTCTGACCTCCCGCACGAAGGTAATAAATCAGTCAGTCGGTCACTCCCGAGCTTAAAAACCGTGATGATAGCGATGCCCACTGCCGTGCCTGCGTAACTCGGTTCTGGTAATTTTCCGTATCACTTTCTCTCGATCTGATAAACCTAGAAGCCTGTTTAACATCTCATTTTAAAGATCATCTTAAGACTAACAAGACGATCCCACTTTCGCTCTGGAAATCTCACTGTTGTTATAGCATGAACGCATTTTGCAGTACAAGTGTTTTATTAATCTAATGTTGCATTTTAAATTATATTCCATTTTGGAGTTTATTATCTCAAAAGCCAAACTCAGATTTCTGTGCTTCACTTGAAACAGCAATGCTTGAGCTTGATGGGCTTACATATCGTCGGCCTTGTGATAAAACCCCAGCGAGGTAAATTTTACAGGAGAAGGAAAAAACTGTTTTATTCGAAAACAAAGGTGTCTATCGATAAATCAATGCTTCAAACACCAATAAAAACCCTTTACCGAAAAACTGTAGACCTTTTTTTCCTTAAAAAATCGTTTTTAATGAAACTGCGTGGGTTAGACGGTTACGTCACTCAAATTTTTCCATATAAAACCGACCAACCCTCAATTTTGTGGGTTGGCCGGTTTTATAGGGAAGCCACTGCTGGCCTCGA